TTCTTCTTCTTTAAGTTCCACTCCTATCGGAGATTGGAAATCATTCTGGCAATTATAATTTTATTGGTTACTCGCCTGAAAAGTTCAGTTGAACTGCATCCAAACCATTCACGGAGATTGCGTAGCCACGAGATTTTACGTCTTCCTACGGTTCTTCTACCTTTAATTTTACCCTGCATTATATTTCTTAGTAGTTCGTACTTTTCACCTCTCATGATTTGCCCCAAGTACCTATTCCAATTTCCTGATTTTTATGGAATTTAAAACTTCGCATTGTTTTCCTAGTTTTTCGAGAACTTGTTCGTTTGTTTTGCGATCCATCCATGATATTTTCAAAATACGTCGGTAACACCACATTTCGAATGCTTCTAGGTTTTTAATGTTTGATTTTTTAGGTGTCCAAGCTTCAACTCCATACAAAAGGGTAGAGAAAATATAACATCGAAGCATTCTTATCGGGAGCGATATATTGATATCGCGATTACAAAAAAGTTTTCTCATTCTATTAAAAGTTGACCGCGCAATTTCAATGCGGCATCTTATTTCTTTTGTCTGATCAGTATCTTCTGTGATCCATGCTCCAAGGTATTTGTACAAAATGAACTTGGTTTTCTTCAAAGTGATTTTTAGTCCATAATCGTTGCAATATATATTTAGTTGTTCAGCAAGGTGTTGCAGTTCTTCTAGTGTTCCTACCAGAAGGACGGTGTTGTCAGCATATCTTATATTATTAAGTGGCTCACCGTTTATTGTAAGGCCCTCACTGATCTCGGCAAGCGCTAATTCTGAGATGGCTTTACTGTATAAATTGAATAACAAGGATGATAAAATACACCCTTGGCGGACCCCACGGCAAATCTGGATATCCTTTTCGTTTTCAACTTTCACTTTTGCTGTTTGATTCCAATAGAGGTTACAGATAATTCTAATGTCTCTACTGTCTATGTTTTTATTTAATACAATTTCTTTAAGTCGATTATGCTGCACTCTGTCAAATGCCTTCTCAAAATCAATGAAACGGGCATATATTTCCTGATTAATATTTAAGCATCTCTGCGAAAGAACACTTACTGCAAACAGTGCAACTCGTATTCCCAGTCCTTTCCTAAATCCCATTTGTGTATTACTTATGCCTTCATCTAATTTCTTATGTACTTTGATGGTACACAAGGCAAATATCGAACACAGTAATTAATCCAATCTTGCCCAAGTACTTTCAATCACAAGATCATCCTTAAGTGTTGTGATCGAAAGTACTTGTGCAAGATTTGATTAATTACTGTGTTCGATATTTGCCTTGTATACCATCAAAGTTCATTTATTCGAACATTCAACCTTATATTAATTTCTTATGCATTCTATTGTAAATTACTTTTAAAAACAATTTCAAGACATGACTCATTAAGGCTATGGTGCGATGTTCATTGCACTCCTTTGCATTGGCTTTTTTGGGAAGCAGAATCAACATTCATATGTTGATTGGAGCCATTCTTTAAGTATTATACCTGTTCTATATATGGTATTAAATAGAAATAAAAGAAGATCAATATATTCAGTATTCACAATTTTAAGTAATTCGATAGGAACTTCATCGGGCCCGAGATATTTACCACCTTTAGCTTGTTTCATTGCATATTCAATTTCTTCTCGTATAATGTGAGGCCCAGTATCATCCTTAAATTCTTTTGGTGCTTCTGTTCTCTCTTTGTCTTCAAAAAGTTGTGCTATATATTGTGTCCATCTCTGCATTTTTTGGTTTATATCTGTTATAAGTACACCCCTTTCATCTCTTAGTTGCCTAGTTTGAAGTGTTTTTCTCATTCCTGTTAATTCTCTAATTCTTTTATGCATGTTAAAAAAGTCATATTTTTTCTCAATTTCTTCTAGTTCTTGGCACTGCTCATGTAACATTCTCTCCTTAGCTTATTTTATTCTCTTTTTTATTAATCGATCAGTTTCATTATATTTAATTGGATTTTCTGTTTTGAATGATTTTCTTTCATTCATAAATAGTAGTATTTCTTCAGTCATCCAATCTTTATGTTTTCTATTCTTTGGTTTTAAGTTTTCATTTGCTGTTTTAATTATTGCTACTTTTATATTTTCCCAATTCTGATCAATGTTATAGCTACTTTTATTCAGTTCATGGGCATTACGTAGATTTTCAGTAAGATTTTTTACAGTTTGTTCCTTTGTTTGTGGTTCCCTTAATCCCTAAATATCAATTCTACTTTGTGTGGGTTTTTTAACCAGTTTTAATTTAGTTCGTAATGTGACTACTATGGGGTTATGGTCTGAACCGATGTCTGCTCCAGGGTAAGTTCTGGCAGACAGTATAGAATTACGAAATCTTTGTCTAATAAGGACAAAGTCAATTTGATTTCGGATTATTCTATTCGTTGTATCACCGGGAGATTTCCATGTACACAATCTTCTTTTTGGTAGCTTAAAAAGTGTATTAGCTATTACAAATTCTTCCGTCTGGCAAAATTATATCAAACGGTCACCACGTTTATTTCTGTTTCCTAGACCATATTCCCCCACATATCCATCCACTCTTCCCTGGCCAACTTTGGCATTGAAGTCGCCCATTACTATTGTAGTGTGATGTTTCTTCATTGATTTTAAGACTTGTTCCAAATCATGGCAAACCAGTTCGATATCGTCGTCATCTTTATCTGCCGTAGGAGCATAAACTTGAATAAAATTTACTATACCTTTTTTAGACTGTAGTTTTATTGATAAGATCATATCAGAATAAGGAGTAAAACTTATCACAGAGTAATTGACCTTTTTTGCAACTAAGATAGCAACACCGTAGGTAAGCAACACGATTGACCTCGTTGTTACCTGAATAATACATGGAATTTATAATATCACTATACAGGAATTTATTAGCTACAAACTTATTTTATTTTCTAGTGTGCTAGAAATTTTACCATTCCTTAAAAATCTCTTTTCTTTTTAGATGCAGAGCAAAATGCTTCCAAAAATTTTCTGAACAAGAATTGTCTTTTTGATATAAGCTTTATAAGCTCATTTATGATCATATTTTGTAATTTTCCAAAAAATAGACACGTTATGCAAGTAAAAAAATGGAATACCCTGATGCACGTCTAGATGTCAAAATCATGCGTAGTCTTTTTGAAGAAAAACATTCAAATATGTATGTTAGATATAAATACTACGCAAAATGTTTTATAAGAACAGTTTTCTTTGCGTTTAGACTCAAAGTTGATACCTGTATTAAGTACGAAGAATTGGTTACAAAAATCAACAGCCAGTCTCTAGGAGCGCATGCTAAACGGACCGCAGAAACTGAACTAGCGGTTCTATGCAAAATCTTTCTCTGCCCTATATACCGATACAAGAGATATTTTATTTGAGTCAACTATGAGTGAACTGCTTCGGTATAAAAAATGTTAAAACCAAGGCATCTGTGTTTTACATTTATCATGAATCCTAAGCCAATAAAGGCGCTAATGAAGTTTGTTCCATGTTGTCCCATTATTTTGAAACTTTTTTACCCGATAACGTAGAAGAAGTATTTTTGTTCAGCGACAACTGGCCTGGACAAAATAAGAACCATACGATGATCCGGTTTTTGCTCTCATTGACGGATACAAGCAGATTTTCCAAAATAATTCATTAGTTTCCAATCAGAGGACATTAATTTTTGCTGAACGATCGAGATTTTAAGGTGCTAAATTTAAAAATTCGAATAACGTGACAGAATTTATGTACCAGACCAATATTATTGCCTTATGGCTGGAGGTGGGACAAATTTTTTCGTTTTTAAGATAAAGACACGTCAGATATTAGATTATCGTAACTGGTGGCCAAGCTATTACAAGCGAAACTGTCTGTCTAATGAAAGCCTAGGTTCAAAAAAACAACAGCAACAAAAAAAACCTTCTCTCCGTCGTCGTTTATGTCGTTTAAATACGATAAACATGCAAAAGGTACAGTTGTGACTCACGATTTTATTGACGGTTTCATTAGTCATACTCTTCTTCTTTCCAAGACCAAACGCTTCGTGTTACTACCAACATCATTAGCTTAGTCAAATAAGCCTACCAGTGAGCAAGCTGACGACGTAGCCCCTAAGTCAGATAATGAATTTTATTTTGTTCCATAATATTCCTCCTCTCAAGTGCTTTGTCTGTTAAGGTTGGTGATCAATATGCCAAATTTCTCTCTGACCTGGGCTTGATGAATTAATTAATTTCCTTCTCTAGGGGTGTAATATCTGATGTTTAATACCAAGATTTTTTCTTTCGTCCTATGCCCCTTTTAACTTCAATATTGCCTTCTAAAATTACCTGGAGCTGCTCAAATGCCCTATGGCGCATTATGTGTCCTAGATAGAACGTCTTTCTAATTTTGATAGTATTGATCAGATGAGGGCCTGTGTTCATAATATTATTATTTAATAATTACCACTTTTTGTAGTTACTATACTTTCGAAATAAAAATTTAAATATTTTTTTTCGTTTCACACAAAAACAGCATTAGTCCAATATTTCAAAAGTCATTTTTCAAAAAAACTTTTATTTTTTCGAGAATATTTATACATCATTATGATTACAAACACAGTTACTTTGGATTTTGAGCTCATCCATTTCATCCATCTTTCAACTATTTAGATTTTTGGCTCTCCTATAAAAGTGGGAATATGTGACTCGTGTTGTTTTTGAAATGACCGATTCAATTGTAAATTAACGTTATCTGCAGGACTTATTCAACTGTGACTAAATTAGCATATCTAAGTTATTTTTATACATTTGATCAATTTGTACAACTATTATGTTAATCAACACAATCTTAAAAAAGGTGCTTCACGAAATATTGTAAAGTCACTACATAGATGCTCCTTGCAAATATTGCTTTTTATCAGTAATTAGTTAATTTTATGTTTAAATAATTGTAGATAAACATATTTTGTAGTACTTATTATCATTTGACCCTCTAATCTATAAATTTTCAGTTTTTTTTAATGCGATCGATCGGATCTCGATCCTATAATAAATAGGCATAGTATGTAATACTGATTCTAGTCAAGATGTCCATCATAACAAATAATATTGGTATAGACTTGGTTATACTTGTAGCTACGATAGTTTTATCGGCTACTGTCTATATAAAGTATCGCTACAGTTATTGGAAAAGACGAGGGATCGTGCAGTTGACACCTCAATTTCCTTTTGGGAATCATGGTAGTAAACTTCCAAGAGGTTTGTCCATAGGTGCCATAACCAAGAGGTTTTATGATGAGTTTAGAGAGCAAGGATTAAAATTGGGAGGTAAATATTTAAATTACCTTTAATTAGAGGTTATAAGCTTTAAAGAATACCATATATTTGACATAAGTGTCACACTAACGACTTCTGAAAAAAAGTCACTAAGTCTTAATCTTTAAATCTTGTAGTTCTTCTCTCACCTTGCTTTTTACTCTTACTGTTATATTCATTGTAGTATTATTTTCACTAATATTTTTTTTCTGGTACTTTATAGTTACTTGACTACCACGTAGCGTTTCTTTTTTCACATATTGGTTTTTAAATTTTAATACCTGTAACATTACTACTGAATCAATTTAAACAAGACTTTTTACAGAACGTCCTATATGATGATTCTATCATTTTAAACAACAAAGTTATAGAAGAATGTATTTATTGCTTACCGTTAATGTTATATAGATGTTTTTTTTTAAAGTAATTTTTAAAAAAATATATTTATTTATTTATTTAATTAACGGATATACGATTTTTACAGAAATATGACGTCAACCTTTACAGAATATAGGTTGCGTTAATAAAAAAACAAACCAAAATTAAAATTAAACAAAATTCAATTAAAGTAGTAGCTTAAGTTATTTAATAATTTTCAAAATCTCTCAAATGGTTTCTTCAATGTTGCTGTAGATATTTCAAATAACTCTAAACTATTGCTGTGCTCATTGGCAGTTCATAAAGTTCTTGTAATGGGTTCATTTTGGACATAATTCGTAGTGTGGACTGGAATGTTGAAAATCTCAGTATTACGAGTTCTTCTAGTATTAACATTAAAATTTATTAAACTTAGTAACTCTGGATCTTAAACATATCCATATATAATTTTAAAAAGAAAATATATATTTTAATTTTCCATAGACACAATACAGAAACTACAAGCGCTGCTAGTCTGTTTGAAAGTGTGAGCGAAAACAACCTCTTGTTAGAGTGCGTCATCATTTAAAGCTATTTTTCTTTGTCTTGCTTTTCTGAAGAGTACCTTTAAGGTTAAATTCTGAAAGTGGCTGCAAACTGCAGACAGCAAACCGCAGACTGCAGCGACAGTGTCGTCTGCGGTCAGACCAATTCCGAGCAGAACTGCACTGCATCTACAAAACAGCGACAACAGCATTACACAATGGGAATTTAGAATAGTATGTAATATATATAATAGAATATAATTATATAATATTAAAAGTCGTAGGTATAAGTAGGATGTCAGACTAAATGAACAACGATGAATTAATGTTATATCTTTTGATGGAAAAAGAAGATGACGACGATCTTTTACTTTTGCATTATAAAAGAAAAAGAAAACTGACTAGGTCTCTATTTAAAAATAGACAATTTGAAGGAAGTTATTCAATACTTATTAAAAATCATCTAATGGCTAACGAAGATATATTCAGAAACAGCAAAATTACGTGTCGTCACTCTGCGGTCGGCGACACTACTGGTTCTGATGCAGTCCTGCGGTTTGCGGTGGCGACAGTGCCGCTCTACTCGACATACAGCTCATAAGAAACCATATGAACCAGTAGGTCTGTCGCTGCGGTCTGCGGTCTGCGGTTTGCAGTTTGCAGTTTGAGGTCGTGTTCGAAATCGTACCTTTATTGTTTTATTACTCCACTGCTTTATATTTTTCAACCAGAACGTGCACCAAATGGTTTGAGGGTAATTCTGATTTGTTTTAACTTTCCTTTCAGTTATGGGATCATTTTTTATCGTATTGAAATTGTTTTCTCTGTTCCGATTTTAGGATCATCAATGTTATCACTGCAATAAGTTTTTTCTTTTTAGCGTACTCTTCTTCTTTTCCTAGTTTCTTCCAATAATGAAATTTTACGTACTTACGTTATTTTTTCTTACATTTCACAACTATGTTAAGTACATCACTGAATAATATCTGGTCTTTTTTCGGTGGTGTTAAATTGGAAACGGGTTCTTTTTCGTTTTAGTTTTGTAGATTGTCTGATATTGAATGAATAATTAAAACCTTGTGGTCGGTTCCTATTTTCACTATTCACTACTTTTCACAAGTTTAAATTTCTTACGTCAATTATTTGCTGGGATAGCATGTTTGTATTAGTGACAATCTAGTGTATTATTGATTTTTGTGTTTTACTCTGTTTAAGTTAATATTTGCAATGGGCTTTATAGTTAAAGAATGTACGTTTAATTTTGAGACTATTTAACAAACATTTAAATCATGATTTAAGCAAATTTAGCATAAGATGCCCTTCTTCTTCTTATAGTGCCGTGCACCTATAGTCTATCTATTTATAGCCCAAAATCTATTCATGTAATGAATGTAAGCCTCTCCCATTTGTCTCTGTCTTCTGTTTGTCTTTTCCACATTGGACCTGCGCTTTGCTCAATGTCATCTTTCCATCTCATTTGCGGTCGACCTCTTGACCTTTTTGCAGTATATGGTCACCAGCGGCCAATTTCTTTATTCCATCTTTCATTCTAATATCTTTCATTATGCCCAGCCCATTTCCATTTTAATTTAAATGCATGTTCGACAGCGTCTGTTGTTTCGATTTTGCATCTTATCCACTCATTATCACACTATCACACCTATAGTGCGTTGACGAATTATCTTAAGGCCAGACGTCTGTCTTTATGTTTCTTAGCCACGACATTTGTTTGCGGCCTACTCCTCTTTTACCTTCAATCTTCCCTGGATGATTAGTTGAGGTATTGCGTATTTTTTTCTTATTAGAATATGGCCGAGGTATCCAATTTTTCGTACCTTGATCAAATTGAGTAGTTCTCTCTCAATATTTGCCTTTCTTAAGACTTCCTCGTTTCTCACCCTATCTGTCCACGGTATGCGGAACATTCTTCGCAACGTCCACATTTCGAAGGCCTCCAACTTATTAATGGAAGGTACTCTTAACATCCATGTTTCCATGCCTTATAACAATATAGACCATACATAGCATTTAACCATCCTGTAGCTGAGATTGAAGGAAAGTTTGCGGTTACATAGTAGCGGTTTAAATTTGATAAAAGCTTGTCTTGCTTGTTTGGTACGGCATTTTATTTCTTGTTGAGGATCCCATTGGTTATTCATTATCATTCCCAAGTATTTAAATCTTTCCATTTGATCGATTGAAGCACCATCTACTTGCAGTTGTATTCTTGAAAGCGCGTTTTTTCTTATTGCCATGCATTTAGTTTTTCCAGCATTTATGTTTATAGAGATGTCCATTATAATTCAAATAGTCTTCATTTAACCTCTGTTTGTTCCCGGAATAATATCCTGTCCAAAATATTAAAATCGCATAACATATTCATTTGATCATCTGAAAGGAGTCCTTCAATAATTTTCTGGAGTTGCTTACAACTTCTTACTCTTTATTGTTAAACATTTTAAATTGTAAAATAAATGACGGTTGCGTTTCAATTTAATTTGAGTCTCTTACCACTCCCTGACACGTGTTTCTGGGTCTACCCGTCATCAGAAGGAGTTTGTAAGAACCGTCATTTATTTTGTTATTGTCCTTACTCGACGCAATGAGTACAAAAATGATAGTAATTTATATGGGTAAATTGTTGATGCATAGTGGAATTTTAATATTCTTAGCATCGCTCTGAATGGCTTGATTAAGCTTGGGATATACAGTTTACTTTAATTGCTATCGATATTTAACTTAATTTTAAATTGTGTTATTGTTCAAATAGTCCCTCCAGTTGTTTTATTATTTTTTTTTATATGATATTAAATAATTTTATTTTTAAAAATAAAATGGACAGTTAAGGTTTGATTTCGTTACACCAGTGTACCACCATTCGATTATATGTATATTTCTTTCTGAGTCTTAGCACAGAAAACTCATGGTATGCTCTTATAAAATATAACCTTTTCCATCCATAACAGTAAATCATTAAAATATTTATTCAGCTAATTTTATTTTTGTTTTAAGGAGTCTATATGGGAATAGACCCATATTTAGTAGTAGTTGATCCAATATACGCTAAGGACATTTTAACAAAAGATTTTCAATACTTTACAAACCGAGGAATATATATTAATAAGAAGAGCCCTATTACCGTGCATATTTTATCTCAAGAAGGAGCCGAATGGAGGGACGCAAGGGTGAGAATATCTTCAGATAATATATATTATAGCTTATATATTAAATTAATTATATATTATAGCGAATAAAATAAATGTGCTAAAATGTTTGTGAGGGCATCACTTCAGAACGACTGCACCAAATTAGATTATTTTTTTTTTGTTTTGTTTTTTATTACAAAAAGAAGGTTTTGTAAAAGATAATTTTTAAAAAATTGTACGAAAACACCTGGCAAACAGTTTTTCTCCGACTTTATTGAAAATTTCCTTCTCCGAAACGGCTAGACCGATTTTTGTGAAATTTTACATTTCGGTAAGTCTGAGAATAGGTTCTTATCTATTTTTAATACCCCTAGGGGGCAAATACCTCAAACTCTTTTTCAATAATTTTTTTTATTTTAATGTTGTTATGACGTGGCATTACAAAATACATACAGTCCTTAATTTTCAACTTTATTACACTAATCCATTTTTTATAGCCACATTAGTGTCACAGAGTTATTTGCAATACTTGTGTTATCTGTAGGTTTAAAATAGGTTGTTATCTACTTTTCATACCCTAAGAGGTAAGGGTCGTTTACCCCAAACATTTTTATTATTTTTAAAACAAACTTATTTATTTTTAGTTTTTTATGATTTTGCAATTAAAAATACACAGTCCTAAATGTTTACCCCTCTATTACTAATCCCTTTCTTAATAGCCATATTAGTGTCACAGAGTTAGTTGCCATACTTCTCCGAAATGGCTGAATTGATTATAAAATTTTACATGTCGTCGGCTTACTTATAAAACCTTTTAAGTCGAAGTAGCAAAACTTTTCAGGAGAAGCAAAAAACTGCTACTATACTTCATTCTACGAATATATGACTGTTTTAAATTTTGTTTAAGGTATCGATTTAAATGGTCCAATGTACTGAATTGTACAATAGTAAACTCTCCCCATTTTTAAAATACTGTTATGACAGATATAAACCTTAGATTTAAATATGAAGTCATGATATAAATATAGAGTTGATAGTTTATAGAACAGTTGTAATTAAGATTTTGAAGTATATAGTTACTACCATTGAGTTAAGTATTGTAAACAAGTTGAATTAAGTAATTTAAACGAAGTGTAACAATACTTAGGTGATTAAATAGTGTAATTTATTTAGTCGAATATTCAATTAGTATTAAAAAAACAAAAAAAAACTTACTTACTCTCTAATTCTCCTAACCTCCTAAAACTATCATCAACCATCAAATTCACATAACTTTACAATGAGAAAGTACATTAAATATAAAGTTGTCTATATCTAAAAACGCCTCGGCATTTTTGGCTATAATAAACAAATACACTACACTAAACTCTCTCTTAACGGCACCTCTTTTCACCGAACACCCCTATACGGATGGTTTTTAAAATTAGAATCAGTCGGCGATGTATGAAACTGTATGTAAATTTTCGTTTTTTTTTTAATCTGTAACGATTCAGTACTTTAACTATCAATAGTTGGTATGTTATACCCGTTACTTTCGGAACTTTTAATAGTATATCCACGCAAATCAAACAAATATTTAAAACTAAGAAAGTGAAATATTAGATCCTTTTTCTGGTTTCTAAACCATCCTTCTTCCAATTTCTTTTTATTTATATTAAAAATAGTATATTTCTTAATTACAGTTGCAGTACCTAATAAAGTAATAAAATAGTGTAATATCAAAGAAACCCGGCACGCCTCTTTGGTGTTTAAATTTCACGGAAACCCAACCCAAATGTATTATAAACACATTTTGGCTTTATAGACGTCATTGTATTTATTTGTAGGACCGTTTGCGTAAAAATTTTTGTTATTTTCTGATTAAATTTTACTATAAATTTTGCGTCTATCTGAAAATCTATTAACTAAAATAATTTTAGTTTAATTGTCAAACTAACAGTAGATCCATTTTATTGGAATACTGTTTAGACCAATTTACTGTCAAACTTCTACTTTCACAGTAAAAATATTCGTTGTCGCAATAATCCAAAACAGTCGTATATTCGTGGAATAACCTATACCGTTATTATGGGACCCTCTCTTATAAAATTTTGTTAAACACCACCAAAATGTAATTATTTTAGTTAAATCAGTAATCCAATATCTAAATATTTTATTATTTAGGCATTAAAAGATGACTTAGATGCTTTTCACTTATTTATTCGGGAAAAAATAAGACTTACAAGGTATATAAGAGTCGACATTTACTTTAAATCTTATTAGTTTGTTGGACAACCGGTGTATTTAGAAAATATATATTACACAAAAAATTCAATTTCTCATATGAAATATTTGTTTAATAAATATTAACCAAAGATATATTAGCTGATAAAAGATAAGAGTGAAACAAATAAAGTTAACAAGTTAGTAATTTATCATAAAATGTATGATGTCTTTTGGTATCACGGATTTTAATTCTTGCAAGTGATTGCTGAATATTGCTTTTATTGCAACGTATGGAAAGTATAGTCCAGGGAATTTTGTAGTATCCTTAAATTAAAATTGGAAACAGAATGTATGATCAAGGTATAGTACTTTATATGGTTTAGGAGTAGGGATGGCGGTTTTTGACAAAACACCGGTTTTCGGTGATACCGGTTTTTTTTTGTTTACGGTTTAACCTGGCGGTTATAACCGGCCAAAAAACCGGTTTTTCCAAAAACCGGTTCTCGGTTTTTTAATCCAATAGATTACAAAGTTACATTTACAATGTACTGTAGTTTGCGATACTTCATTCTACTCGATATCAATATGATCAAAATTAGTATTATCGAAAGAACATCAATATCAATATAAATAAAACACAATTTTTAATAAAACCATTTCATTCTATTAATTATTATATTTATTTATTATTTTATTATTATTATATATTTATTGATTATTATTAAATATAATATACTACTGCTCAACAGAGAGAGCGCTGAAATAATTAAGGTTCTATTGTCATTGAATTTATTATGAGAGTAGAATATAATATGCAATTATTGTATTCAATTAATGATGCAAAACTCTCCTCCCGAACCCAAAAAATTTCCCAACCGTTTCAACTCATAAAAAATTTCCCAGTCTCTTTCAAATGGAATTTAAAAAAATAATATCAACATAATTTAACTTAAAAATAAATTGGATAATGCAATTCATCTTTTATTTTTACTACCATCAAAACAAAATTATCATGTATTACTTTTAACACGTTTGTATATTTGTATAATGGGTACATTTTAACTCATTTAATACTTCCTGTAATAATATATCGTTTTGAAAACGTAGGGAAATCCTTGGAGATTCGAATTCGTAATTGGTAATTCGATATTCATAGTCAGAACATTATTTTTGGTAATCAGCAAAAGCCATAAAAGACATTCACCCACTTTCAAGTTTCAATGTCAAGTGTGAAAAATAGATGATGTACTAGGTCATTTCTTATGTAAATATTATGATTTCAAATACCTTTTCAACGAAATATTATAATAAAACTTAATTGTTTCTGGCTGATGTTCTGGCTTCATGAGTTTGCACTTTCAGTTTGCTTTTGTATTTATAAAATAAAATAAAATTTGAATTATGGATTTGTTTGGAATAATTACTTGAGAATCATAATTATGATTGGAATCCAAAATAATACCTAACCTAATCCTAATCACCGTAAAAACCTAATAACCGGTGTTTACTTTAAAAATAAAAAAACCGGTAATAACCGGGACAAAAAAACAACCGATAAGACCGGTTATTGCGAAGTAAAAAAACCGGTTTTCGGTTAAAATCGGTAGGTTTTTCCCATCCCTATTTAGGAGTGAGTCTTGCATTTTTAAAAAGGTCGACGTAGCAGCCTGGTGTATAAATTTTAGGTGGACTGTAAACCCCTGGTGGAGTTTTATTTTGTAGGATATAATTGTCGAGTGCATTGAATCGTACTCCATTTGTGTATGAACTTTTTCAAGGTACTTATGAACCACCACAAATGTTTTCATGAGCCACAGACAAAAGTGTATTTGATAAAATATTATTTCGATTCTGGTAGCCGCAAGCATTACTGTTAAATAATATTTCATTATTATCCTGAAGAGTTGGTATCTTATTAGGGATAAAATACGAAATTATTGTAGAGAATTCAAGTGCAAGAAATACACTTTGTAAATCCATGGTATATACAAATCTACCCTGTCCTTGTTTTTGGAGTTTTCCGTCCTAGCATTTTCTTTATTTTCTATGTGTCTTTTGTAAATATCCTCGGACACATTTTAACCCTAAATCCCACACAGAGATCACACTGGTCTTTTTTGGTCTCGTTTATGCTAAAATTCATCTTTTCTAATTCCTCCATAAATGTTTTAACTGATAGAGTTTTTTCATTGCATTTTTATTTTTCATATTCTCGGAATAGTTCCATCTTTAATCTTCATACGGGTTTTAGGTATATTTTCGTAGTAGATGATCTACAATAATGCGACTCAAGCTTTGGCAGACTTATTAGAAATGAAAGCAAAATATTCCTGGGAGGATTATCCTTTGTTTTCTATTTTAGACCGATTCAGAGTTTGTTTTAGGTATCACCGTGTGTTGCATAAGTATCCTCTATATTTATATTTGGATCATTTTCTTTATTCCATTCAGACACAGTCCATTGTCCATTGCATAACGTATGTAGAAACATTGTTTTGCAAACCCTATGTAATTCATCACCTGAATTTTTCAGACGAAAATGTAGTGATCGGCCTCTTCTAGAGACTTTGTTGATTTGATGTTTTTTATCTTGGGCTGCATCAACTCAGACTAACATTAGTATTAGTACCATGGTTTTTTCTCTTCCCATGTCTTTTTCCAAAATTCGGAGAATATTTTTGCTCTTTGCTGTTCGCTGAACAGCATACATTTTAACAATGCAGTTTTCTTTGCACTCAATTTGCAATTACATGACGGTTTCATACTTTCTGGTTTTTCAACATCAAAAACACATTTTTTGATGTCCATCTTTCTTCTACCGAGATCTTTTTCACCGTGTTTCCTTTTTCGTTTATTTTAAAATTGGACCCATTGTAAAATATCAGCTTTTCTATTTCTTTTTTTCTTTTGAGTAACCGTGGGAGGAACAGTTATGTTTAAATTATTATTATCTTCTTCAAACTAATTTTCTTCTGAGGTAACATTATTCTGGTAGGAGACTGAATCACTTGAAGAATCTTTCACTGAATCGGAATTAGGAGAAAAGACAGACTCTTCTTGATCATCAAGTTCACTATTATTTTTAATGTTATTTTTGTCGACTGAAAACTCATTAAGAGCCTTAAAATTTTGCACTGAGTTTTCTAAACAAACATGCTGCTCTTTTAAAATAGTAAATTTAAATAATATAAAAAACCTATTAACGAAACTGTGCATTTACTCACCATATTAATAGAATTATCATTTCCATTATGTGCACACTGGACTTTAACAGTGGTAGGTAAGTCACTAAACTCTATGGGCAGATCATTATTATTAATGTTATCTTAACAATGTCCCGAATCAATAGGTTTTGAAAATAATGGTAAAATATGTAAAATATTTCCACAATTATGATCAATGTTATCAAAATTGTTATTTCCTTTCGGTGAAACTTCTGGCGCGGCAACTAATTCTAATATCAGTTTTGCCCGAGATTTGTAGGAAGCCATCTAAAATAATATATCATAATTTAGTGAATTTTAGTAATTCATAAAAATCTATAATTTGATTTTTTGAAGTTTTTTCAATTAATATTTTAACTTGGCTTTAAATCTAAAAACCATGTAAGTCCCTAGCAGTCAATATTTTAACGTTAATTTTAATATGAAAAATGTTTAAGTCCACATCAACAGTTTAAGAATTTCATTTAAAAATTATTGTTAATTAAAATGGGTTAAAAACAGTGTACATACCTTCCTAACTATTTAGGTTAAATTGGAAAACTAGGAAACATTAACTGTTGCTAAAATTTCTGGCCAAAACCAGCAATTTTTAACACCGATTACTTACTAAACTCCAAGTGTCAGTACGTTTTCACACTCACAGACAGAAAAGACTTTGAAAACAGAAAAGGTTTTCAGAACAATTTTAGACTTAGAGACATATCACGTTTATATGTTGATGGTCTATATCGGATATATTTCAAAGAGTGTCCAGTTTTAATTATCTTGGTTGCCATATTATTGAACAACTAGATCCAGATCAAGAGATAAAAGGTAGAATCGAGGTAGCGCGCAAGACATTTTTAAAAATGAGGTCATTCTTATGTAATAATAACTTGCATTTCAACTTCGAAAGCGCATGGTTAAATGCTACATTTGGTCACTCTTCTTATACGGTGTCGAAGCATGGACATTGGAAAAGTATGGATACATGGAAAAATATCCACTATTAATAGTCTGGAGGCCTTTGAAATGTGGCTGAACAGACGTATACTAAAAATTCCATGGACGACTATGCTGACAAATGTGGCAGTCCTTGAGAGAGCAAATGCTGCTGACGAGCTGCTTGATAACATCAAATGTAGAAAGAAGGCCTATTTTGGACACGTAGTAAGGGGAGACCGATATAATATTCTTCAACTTATTCTGATGGGTATAATCGAAGGACGCAGGGGAATTGGTAGAAAGCAGGCCTCTTGGTTGATGAATATCAGGGAATGGACAGGGATAAGGAAAGCTGGGCAACTCTTTAGAATAGCTCGAGACAGAGACAGTTTCGCCATGTTAATCGCTAACGTCAAGGGGACTTGATAGCTCACGTTAAGAAGAACAAGACATAGAGGTTCCTCCTATTACCACCAGGGACAATTGGTGGTAATTGTCTACACTTAGAATCTATTCACAGTAATATCGGGATGGATTTATTAAATTATTTCCGTAAAAAAACATTAAATGACCGAAAATTGACTTTTTATTAATTAACTGAAGGTTTTACAAGTAAGCCGATGATGTGTATTCTGTAGATCAGAGGATAGTTTGTTATCTATTTTTCATACCCCTAAGAGGTAAGGGTGGTTCATGTCAAAAAAAAAATATTAGTTTTTTAGCAAAAGTTTTGATTTTTTGTGTTTTTATGATGTGACATTAAAAAATACATACAGTCCTTTAATTTGCACATCTCTATTACTTTATCCTTTTATATAATTGATGGATTCGACCGTTACTTGATGGAAATTCATTTTATGTAACAATAAAACACTGAAAACTTTGTTTTCAAACTTCCACAAAATTTATTTTAAATCTTATCACTACAGCTGTTTCGGCTGATTGCCTTTTTCAAGTGATTTTTTTTTGGCTTGGGTTAACAAATTTATAGTCTCTAATGAAATAGGTTGAGGAGGGGAGAACTGTTTGTCTCAAGTCGGTCATTCAGAATTATATCTGTGTTTTTTAATTTGTTAAGCTATCTTTGTTAGAATCTATGGAAATCAACAAATTAAAAAACAGAGATATAATTCTGAATGACCAACTTGAGACAAACAGTTCTCCCCTCCTCAACCTATTTCATTAGAGACTATAGATTTGTAAACCCAAGCCAAAAAAAAAATCACTTGAAAAACGCAATCAGCCGAAACAGCTGTAGTGATAAGATTTAAAATAAATTTTGTGGAAGTTTGAAAACAAAGTTTTCAGAGTTTTATAATCCTTGTATCCTTATTTTCTTCTGTTTTTAATAGTCATATTAGTGTCACAAATAGCTGGATCGGTTTTTATGAAATTTTACATATATATTCGGTACGTTTAAAAATATGTCGTTATATATTTTTCATACATCAAAGGGGTAAGGGTGTTTCACTCCAAACATTTTTTGTGTTTTTTGTTTTGTTCAGTTTTCAAAATTTTGATGGTTTTACATTAATTTGTGCTTCTTTATATTCTTATGTTTTGTTAGCGCAGCGATCTTGATTTTGTCATATTTATGAGATCGAATTCTAGATTGAAGTAGTTGACTCGTTTGTCCAAAATAAAACTTTATCATTTTAGAATACACTAACGATACGCCCATCTAAACATAATTTATTAATGACAGCTAAGAGTAAGATGTCAGATATCAATTTTTACTCTATGTCATTTCATTATTGTTAGAGTCTCGCGTTACGTTTTGGTAAGTTTTTATATATATTACAAAAGATTTTTGTTCTCAATCTTGTACATTTTAGAATATTTATAAAGACAAGGGGTTATCTGCTGAAACGTTCATTTTAATGGCACAATAAACTCTAGTTCCAAATTTAATAGAACTTTGTGAAAAGACAGCAAATATTTGATTTTACGCAAAAAGCGCCTTTGTATCTGTTGATACATATTTCGACCTAATAGGTCTCATCAGAACAGTTATTCATAGGTGTTCTCAACGTGAAAGATCAATATTTTCTGTCTTTTTAGAAGCAACACTAAAATGGCTTCAATACGGACGCAATAGCGACATCTGACAATAAAACCGTAAAAGTTTTTCGAAACACAATTCAGATTTCTGCTTTAATCTGTGCTTTCTAAAACTGTTCTGATGAGACCTATTAGGTCGAAATACGTATCAACAAATACAAAGGCGCTTTTTGCGTGAAATCAAATATTTGCTTTTTTTTCACTTTATTCGGATATACTCTGTACGAGTACTAGAAACCAATTCGCTAAGGATTTCTGCTTAGTTGAAAAGACGTGTCGTGAAATGCAAATTTTAGATTCCCCACGTCTCTTTTAACACCTTTATCAACGATTCTTTTGCTCTGCAATTTTTAGAAAGCACAGATTAAAGCAGAAATCTGAATTGTGTTTCGAAACTATTTTACGCTTTTATTGCCAGATGTCACTATTGCGTCCGTATTGAAGCCATTTTAGTGTTGCTTCTAAAAAGACAGAAAATATTGATCTTTCACGTTGAGAACACCTTTGTATAGCTGTTCTGATGAAACCTATTAGGTCGAAATACGTATCAACAGATACAAAGGCGCTTTTTGCGTGAAATCAAATATTTGCTTTTTTTTCACTTTATTCGGATATACTCTGTACGAGTACTAGAAACCAATTCGCTAAGGATTTCTGCTTAGTTGAAAATACGTGTCGTGGAATGCAAATTTTAGATTCCCCGCGTCTCTTTTAACACCTTTATTAACGTCTGTTTAGCTTTGCAGTTTTTAGAAAGCACAGATTAAAGCAGAATTCTGAATTGTGCTTCGAAACTATTTTACGGTTTAATAATACTTATTGCACCTAAACCCAAGAAATAATAATTTTATATTAAATATAGTATGGTTTAAGAATCTCCATCAAGCCTTTGGTTTCTCTTTTTTACGACTAAATTATGAAGTATAGTTACAAGACGTTAAACAGTCCTTTGTTAACCATATACAACGTGATAAGACTGTTTTTTGAACACAATGAGCCACATACTTACATATAGGCCACATCTTGAACATAGTTAATAATGCATTTATGAATATAGGTTATCGGTTATGTAAATACTATTTTGTAACATCAATTTTTATTTTAATATCTGATATTTTACTTTATGTTTCCAAAATCAGATTATAATTCTTATTTTTGCAAAAAAAAATCCGCAAAAGCAACTACAGTTCTGTTTTAAATGTGTTCAAAATGAAACTTGCTAGGTATGTACATATGTAGAACCTAATACGAAAGAAACAGTGATAATTTCTACAAAATAAAATCTCAATATACAGGGTGTTTCGTTGAAATAAATTAAAAAATTTTATATTTGAAATTAGTGATTACGCTGTATACTATAGATAGTAAAACCAATATATCATTTACATTAATATTAACTTGAAAAATTAATCCACAGCCCTTTAAATATTACAATTTTCCCAATAAATGTGTAAATATTTCAAAAATTAACTTGAGACCTATCCTATAAAACCTTTCGCAAACCATTCATATATAAAAAAAATACATGTAAAAATGCTTTAATATACAAGGTGTTCCATTACAAAAACAAAACTTTGATTCATTGCATTGTTCTGACTAACCCTGTGATTTTAGGCCAAATTTACGAACATTTTTACTTCTGCAAAAATGAGATTCTTTTTCGAAACTCTAAAAAAATGCAGCCAAGATTTACAATCAAATTTGAAACAATTTGTCGATAAGGATAAAGATGTCGATATATTTGAGATGATAGCTTGTTATACCACGGATATAATTGGTAAGTAGGTAATATATGATATAATATTTTATTTTAACTAATTAATTAAGCTTAGTAACTTTCTTAATTTTTTGTTGGTTTTATAGATGAAAATCAAGCATTTGATAGAATGTGGCAACTAGGACTATTATTGAAAATAAAAACTAAGTTGTTTAATAAGATATTCACATATTCCAGACACGTGTCTATATTTGTCAGATAATCTGTAGGGTATACTGTCGTGTTCCTTTTAAGTCAAAGCCTTTACTTTAAACAGACTTAGTTTAGTTTTCTCAAAGCGCCGCTCATGGAACCAGGTTCCAATTTCATAGTGTTACCACAGTTTACTGAGATTTATTCCATAAAGAAAAATTTCCTTGGCGAAAAAGAAGGAGTTTTAGATCAAGAATAATCGAGATGTCTTGCTTCGTCTTCCTATTCTTATAAGAGATACTACGTCTTTACCACCAAATATTTGTTTATATCTGTGGAATACCTCGTAGTTGTATCTCCTCCTCCAAACACCATTTTCACAGATGCCACCAAATATTCCTCTCATGATCCTTCGTTCAAATATAGGCAGAAGGTCTTCGTCAACACTGGCTGTATAAGGGTTTTGTATATAGTTATTTTTGTTTTTTTTCTTAAGTTTCTACTTCTCATATGTCTACTCAGTTCAAAATAGCATCTGTTTGCCATTATTATCCTTCGCTTGATTTCTTCCGTTATGGCGTTCTCTTTGATGATCAGGGAGCCTAAGTATGCGAATTTGTCCACCACTTCAAAGGTAGAGTTATCAACCGTGAATTGGTGACCGATGTTCCTGACTCTATTGTTGGGTCTTGATGCCATCATCTTAGTTTTCTCCTCATTTACTTGCAGGCCCATGGATTTTGAGGCATTTGAGAAGGTGGTATACATTTCTTCTAGCTTGCGTGTTGTGCGGGCAACTAGGTCCACATCATCTGCATATGCCAAAATTTGGGATGATTTATTAAAAATATTTCCTCTGTTGTCTATTCGGGCATCTCTGATTGCCTTTTCCAGTGCTATGTTGAAAAGGAGACACGCCAGCGCGTCTCCTTTTCGCAGCCCAACATGCGTTGCAAACGCCTGTGATTGTTCGCCCTGTATTTCGACTTTGCAAACCACATTACGCATTGTAGCCTTAACCAATCTTGTCAGTTTATCGGGGATGGGGAATTCATTTATGGCTTCATACAATTTATTTCTTAGGACACTATCATAGGCAGATTTGAAGTCTACAAAAAGATGGTATGTTTCGATATTGAATTCATTGGTTTTTTCCAGTATTTGCCTTAGCACAAAGATCTGATCTGTTGTTGATCGACCAGGCCTAAAGCCACTTTGATATTCCCCGAGAAGGTCCTCTGAGTATGTACTTAGGCGACCATATAAGATCCTCGAAAATATTTTGTATGCTGTATTAAGGAGGGTTATTCCCCTAGAGTTTCTACATTTCAATTGGCCAGCCTTTTTGTGTAGCGGGCAAACGATTCCAATACACCACTCTTCTGGATTTGTTCCTCATTCCAGGCTTTCAGTATTTTTTTATATATTTGTTAGTCACAGTAGCACCTCCACATTTAATAAGTTCCGCGGGTATACCATCACTTCCTGGAGATTTATTGTTTTTTAGGTGTTTTATTGCATCTCGTACTTCTTGAATTGACAGAGGCTCTAATGGTGAATTGTTGCTTGCTCCTGCGGGTGGTTGATTTGGATCTGGATCTTCTACTTCTATAGTAAGTAGTTCTTTAAAGTGTTCCACCCACCTTTTCAATACTTCTTCTTTTGTATTTAGTATATGCCCCTCCTTATCCTTACATAGTCTGAGCCTTGGTTTAAATTCCTTTCTTGCGTTATTCAGAGTTTTGTAGAATTTTCTTGTTTGGTTTTCCTTTTTTAATACCTCAAGTTCTTCCAATATTCTATTTTTGTGAGTTCGCTTTTTCCTTCTATAAATGCACTTCTCTTCTTTTCTGAGATCTTTATATTTTTGCTGTTTTTCTCGGGTTCTTCTTGGCTGCATCAGTTTATATGCATCGTTCTTTCTTCTTGTAATGTCCTCACACTCAGCATCAAACCAGTCATTACGTGGTGGTGGTCTTTCTGGCCTTAGAATATTATTTGCTGCCTCTTTAATAATATTTTTACACATTTCCCATTGTTCACTAATTGTTAGGTCCTCAAGAATTATGTGTTTAGTTTCAATATAGTTTTAAAACCTTTCTACTGTTTGCGGATTTTTGAGGAGTTCAATATTGAGATGCGTTGTTTTGGTACTTCTCTCCTTCTTCGCATTTAAGATTCTAGCTCGAATTCGTGTGCCAACTAGGAAGTGATCTAAATCAATATTGGCGCCTCGATAGGTGCGGACATCCTTTAGGTTTGAAAAGTGTCTAGCATCTATGATTACATGATCAATTTGGTTGTTCGTTGAGACTACTTAAAATTCCCTGGACAGATTACACAACAAATGTCGAAGTATTAAATCGAATGGGTAGAGAACGAGAATTGCTGCCAATAATAAAAAGAAGAAAAACTGCTTATCTGGGTCATATATTTTAAAATTTCAAGTACCAGTTCTTAAAGCATATTATGGAAGGGAAGACAGAAGGAAAACGAAGCATCGGAAGAAATAAATACTCATGACTTAAAAAACATAAGGGATTGGACAAATCTCGATGTCCATGCACTTTTTAGAGCCACACAAAATCGAGACAAGTATTCGAGAATTGTCGCCAACATCCACTAATTGGATAGGGCACCATAAGAAGAAGAATCCCATGTTATACCTGCAATGTGTGGACGAGCATTATCTTGCATCAGACGAAAGTTTTCTTAAAAATATGGGGCAAATGGCACTACATGATTTTTTAAATATTGTTCTATTACCTTCCAGCGTTTAATTAGTCCCGTTTAATTGTAACAAGTCTCGTATGAGGCTCTAGGAAAATATCTGCTCATAGCATTATTACACCTTCACCAAATTGAACTCTGGTAGTAAAATAATATTACTGATAATGTTCACCAGCTTTGCTCCAAATTCTAGGCCGCCCATCTGATGGGTATCCTTGATTGGTGAATGATGAAGAGCATCGCATATACAAAATAATACTGTTTAATTTAAGACACTAATTCACATTAATAACAAAAAGTTTGTGTAGAACTGTTGTTGTTCGCAAAAAATCATCTAAATAAGTATAAACAAGAAAAAACTTGATCGTTTATAAGGCATAAAATAGAGATCAACAAATTAAATAAGTTTTTATCTAAAAATAAAAAAATACATAAAAATCTCAGTGTCTGGTTAATTTTGCACTCCAGTGTATTTTAAAGCTGTTTAACAATCGCTTTCAGATGATTAAGGCTGAGTTGTTTCTCTTCCTTGTTTACTTGGTTGAATTATTACTGGTTTATTTCGCTAAGTGCCTGACGAGCTTGCACTCTCTTTTACTTATTTCACAGAATTAGCGAGCATGACAAGGTTTTCCACCACAGCAAGGTTTCACAACTTTCTCTCGAAAGTACCACAAGGCACGTGAAACTAATAAACTTTACTTTGTCTAAGAATATTTGGTGTCGATTCGTAAAAATATTTGTTCAACGTTATCATACATCATCATCATTTGGCTCTACAACTCTAGGTGAGTCTTGGCCGCGTTTACTATTCCCTCCATTGTTGTCGGCCCTGAACAGCTATTTCCCACTGCTGCACTCCCATTTTACGTAGATCACTGGCCACTGCGTCCTTCCATCTCTTTCTTGGGCGGCCAACTGACCTTCTGCCATCGGGCCTTTCCCAGAATGTGGTGTTCAGAAGACTGTCGTTATTTGATCTTAGGACGTGGCCCGCCCATCTTATTCGGTTTGCTTTAATGTAGCGGACTATGTTTTCATCTCTATATATTGTCTGGAGTTCATTATTGTGTCTTCTTCTCCACTCTCCTGTTGTTTCTTCTCTACAAAGCCCATAGATAGTCCGCAGTATCTTTCTTTCAAGAACCAGTAATTTTGTCGTTTCCCGCTGGTTCAGCGTCCATGTCTCGCTTCCATACGTTATTGTGGGTCGAATTATTGTCTTGTATACTCTTATTTTTGCTCATCTTGAGAGTATTTTTGATTTAAGGATGGTCATTAAAGAGTAATATGTCCTGTTTCCTGCTATTATCCTGGCTGCCACGTCATTTTCATGTTTGTTTTCAGATGTTATGATCGCTCCCAGATACTTAAACTCTTTGACGACTTCGAAGTTATATTCGTTAATTGTTACATTTTGCCTAACCCTTGGTCTTTCGTAACTACCATGTACTTGGGCTTATCCTCGTTTACTTTAAGACCAATTTCCTTGGCTCCGGTCTTGAATAGGGTGAAATCTTCTTTTGCAGCTCTGGTGGATTGTGCTATTGTGTCCACGTCATCCGCAAAGGCCAATAGTATTTTTGATCCTTGTGCGGCAAATCCGTTTGTCAATTGTGGCTGAGCTTTCCTTACTGCATGTTCTAGTGCGAAGTTAAACAGCAGGGGAGCGAGAGGATCTCCTTGTCTAAGTCTGGTGTCAATGTGGAATTCCTCCGACGTGGTGTTGCCAATTCTGATCCGTGCGGAAGCATTCTCCGTGCTCACCTGTAATAATTGTACCAGCTTTCCAGGTACTCCCAATTCTACCATGGTCTTCCACAAAGCCTCTCTGCTAACAGAATCGTAGGCTTGTTTAAAGTCCACGAATATTTGGTGTAAGTCGCGATTGAATTCCCAGTTTTTTTCCAACTTGGCGTAAGACGAAGATCTGGTCTATGGTCGACCTTCCCGGTCTGAATCCAGTTTGATAGTCACCTATTATTTCCTCTGCGTATGGAGTTATTCTTCTAAATAATATTGTGGATAAAATTTTTTATGTTGTATTGACTAACGATATTCCTCTATAATTGCGACATATTTGTTTGTCTCCCTTCTTGTGGATAGGTATTATATGACTTTCATGCCAGTCTTTCGGTATTTCTTTTCTCTCCCAGACTTCTCTTATAAGATGGTATATCTCAAGATGTAGCTTTTCTTCCCCTTTTTTTAATAGTTCCGCCTGTATGCCGTCTGGTCCTGGGGCTTTATAATTTTTTAGGGACGAAATTGCGGACTTTACTTCAGCTAGTGTGAGCTCTACTATTTCAGGTTCGGCTAACTGGTATTGTCTGTGTTGCCCCGTTGTTTTGGGAGTTTCTGTATTTAAAAGTCTTTAAAAAGCCTTTAGAAAGTATTTAAAAGCTTTGTTTAAAATACTTTCTCCATTAACGGCTTATCTCCTCGTCGTCGGTAAGTAATTGTCCTGTATCATCTTTTATAAATCTTGGGCTGTTGGTCGTGTTGTCCTTCATTGTTTTTAGGTCCCTATAAAACTGTCTAGACTGCCCGGTTCTATGTTCCTCCTCGAGTTGCTGTATTCGCGCTTCTAGGTACTGTTTCTTTTTTCTTCTCAAAAGTCTTCTCGTCTGAGCCTTACTCTGTTGTAGTCTTCTCTGTTTTCTGTTGTAGGTCGTGTTAGTAACTCCAGCCTCTTAACTGCTTTCTGCTGCAAGCTTTGTTCGCACTCCTGGTCAAATCACTGGTTTTTCTTCTTGTTATTCCTTTCTTTTCCAATAGTTTCCGCTGCGGCGCTTTCTAAGGCGTTCACTGTGTTTTTCCATTTATGGTCTACGGCAAATTCTGGTGTTGATGTTTCTTCTTCTTCCAGTGTCTGCAATTTGTTTTGTACCAGTGACTGATATTGGCGTTCATTATCAGGCAGATCGAGCCTTGTAATGTCCCATCTCTTACCTTGTTGGCGTTGCTTTGGATGTCTCGTGTTTGGTCTTGCTCTCATTTTTGTTCTGATCAGGAAGTGGTCAGAGTCATTTTCTGCTTTCCTTAGACTAGAGAACACATGCTCTTGTTGATTGGTTTGAAATCAATTATGGAAGACTTGAGATTTCCGTTAACTACAAAACCACATTTAAATTCGTGCCATTCCTCTTCTCCTGACCAGAAAACCAGGAAGTTTTCCATTTGCAGGCTTCCCGATCCTGTCCATCTCATTTCCTGAATCGCTGTTACGTCCATCTGGTATTTTTGAAGCTGTTGTATGGCATGTTTGCAATTCCGGGCCTGTACCAGCTTAACACGTTCCATGTGCCTAAAAGGATGTCCTTATTTCGTAGCTTGGATCTAATTCGTGTTCCATGTCTAATCCGAGGCAATAGTATTCGATTCGTAGCGGCTTTCTTTTTCCATGTATGGGTTGCTGGTCCATAGCAAAACTCCCTTTTTGGACGACCAGAGTTGCTCAGTTGCATAGGAATTGAGTAGGAGAGGCTAGTGATGCTAACTGGAAACAGCATCATATATTGCGCTTCACTACCCCTTTTGAACCCCAAAAAACATTATCATACGCAGTTGGTAAATAGACTCTATAAGCTATTGGTGGCAGACCGCAGAAGAGGTGGACAGACGATATCAAACAAGTCGCGGGCAAGCAGTGGATGAGAATTGCCAAAAGTAGAAATCGATGGAAGCAAATGGAAGAGGCCTATGTCCAGCAGTGGACGAACACAGGCTGAAGAAGAAGAAGAAGAAGCTATTGGTGAAGGAATACTGATAGTATTCAAAAGATTAGTATTTCGAAATATGCTAGTGGTGGGGAAGGCATATACCGAAGAAAAAGAAGTAAATCAATGAAGACTTAATGCCTACTTAATACTTTAATACCAATTTAGTAATATTGGTAAATACAACATCAGTTTATTATTAGTCTTCTTCTTCTTACTTCTTGTATGTAGGCTTTAAAGCCCGTGTCTTCTTCAATATTACCTCCAAAATTGTTTAAATTATCGCACCATATATTACTTGCTCTGCCAATACTTCTTCGCCCGTTTGATGACTTATCTCATGCTATTTGTACTATCCTGTCCTCTGTCATTCTACTTATGTTTTCGTTCCACTCCTGTTTCCGTTTTGTCAGCCATCCATTTATGTCTTCTATATTGTATGCTCTTTTTATGTTTTCGCTTATCTCCCTATCCGACAGACTTTACCCTGATAGTCGTTGAAGTATTTTCAACTCTGTTGTTTAAAGTGGTCGTCTCGTTTTAGATGTGTCAGGTCTTGTCTACGCTGTGTATGTTAAAATAGGTCTAATTGCTACTTTATAGATTCTTGTTTTTTTATCTTGTCTTAGATGTTTGTTCTTCCAGATTATGTCATTAGGAGATCCCACCGCTTTACTTGATTTTAAGCTTTGTTTTCGTACTTCTTCTTCAACATATCCGTAACTAGTCATGTCTATTCCCAGATATATAAACCTTGCTTCCAGCTTAAGTATTATTTCATCAATTTCGATTTAACATCGTAGTGGGTATTTAGATGTTGTTATACATTTGGTTTTTTCTGCTGATATTATCATATTGCATTTCTTGGCTGTTATATTGAAAATGTGTGTTAATCCATTAACAGGCTTAACGAGTCACCCTGTCTGACTTCACTTTGTACTGGTATACACTGTAATAATTTTTCATTTATCTATGCCTGTATTCGATTATAGAAGTAGATGTTTTCGATGGTTGTATGATATTAATTGGTATGTTTCTTTTATACAGTAGGTGTAAAACGTCTTCGACTTGAATGCGATTGAGTCAAGTCTATGAAACATAGATATGTTGGTTTATTGTACGCGATAGCCTTTTCTGTTATTTGTCTTAGTACAAATAGGGAGTCTATGCAGGATCTTTCGGATCTGAATCCTTGTTATTCATCTGATAAAGTAGTTATTTTATAAGTTTTGTTGGTTAGGACTTAAGTGATAAACTTAAGTGCAGTGTTCAGAAGATTTATACCCCTATAATTATTGGGGTCTTCTTTATCCCATTTCTTGAACATTAACACATTATATATTGAACATATTAGTAGTCTACCATCAAAATACCATCTCTTTTTTTTTAGTAGATTGTGTTTTCATAATATACTCTAAAATATTCTAAAATATTTTTTATAAAAGCTTTTGATTTATAACAAATTCTGATATTCGTTTAGGAGACATAATTTATGGTATTGAAGCTCAAAGTTTCTCCCAGGAAGGTGCTATTTTTAGAAAAATGGGAAGAGAATTTTTCAATGTATTTAGTATACCCAATCAAATTAGCCTCTTTTTGACTATATGTTATCCAAAAGTGGCAAGAATGCTGGGTGCAATAAATATTCAAAATCACATTGGAGAGTTCTTTATGAAATTTTTAAAAGAAGCCTTGGATTATAGAGTAGCGAATAATATTTCGAGATCAGATTTTCTTCAGCTGTTAATTCAGATGAAAAAGTCTGGCGTGGAACTTACCGACGATGAAATGGCTGCACAGGTAATACTATTACTATATATAATAAATGTATGTTATCAGGCTTTTTGGTCAGAAAATAAAACGATTTTTTTCTCGTAAACTCAATATTTCGCCATTTGGTTTATGGCTTTTTCAAGAGCGCGCTAAAAAATTATGTATTGATAGAATAAAAAAAATAACATAACATAAAAGAATAAATAATTGTATTAATAATTAATAAAAGATTACAGATGTAATCGTTCAAATAGCGTAGCACAAACACAACATCTTGAGTGACAGACTAAAAATATTAAAACACAAACACATCTTCATGAGTGACAAACTAAAATTCAACTAAAATATTGTAATACCTGATTTTGTTTATTGTCCTACAATTTAATCAGTGACGTGCAAAAACTAATATATTTTATAAATTAAAAAGATTTTAAGATGTTACAATAAATGGAACTTAGTTAGCGTCTGTTTTGTTGTTAATAGCATTATCTGTCCTGCTTATATTGGACATTTCGAGAAACAGCCTATTTTTGTAATTTGAGACTGACTGTATTATTTTTACATTATCAAAATCAAATTCATTACCTGTCTTGATGGAATGTTAGACAACAGCGCATGTCATTTTTCCCCTTCTGCAATCACTTCTGTGTTGAGTGACCCGTTGTTTCAAGCATTGTCCGGTTTGACCAATGTAGCATCCCTGGCATCCTAAATATTGCAATTTGTAAATGACGTTACTATTGTACATGGTTGGTGTATGATCTTTGGTTTTAGAAAATAAGTTGTTGCATTGAAAATTGCTGTATTTACTAATTGTTGTATTGGTGTAGCTCTTAAATATTGATGTTAGTTGATTTGTTAGACCAGGGATATATGGCAGTTTTTTATATCTGGTTTCTTCGGGGGGTTTGTTTGTTTAGGATGCCAGGGATGCTACATTGGTCAAACCGGACAATGGTTGAAACAACGGGTCACTAAACACAGAAGTGATTGCAGAAGGGAAAAAAATACATGCGCTGTTGTCGAACATTCCATCAAGACATGTAATGAATTTGATTTTGATAATGTAAAAATAATACAATCAGTCTCAAATTACAAAAATAGGCTGTTTCTCGAAATGTGCAATATAAGCAGGACAGATAATGCTATTAACAACAAAAAAGACGCTTAATATTTTAGTTGAATTTTAGTTTGTGACTCATGAAGATGTGTTTGTGTTTTAATATTTTTAGTCTGTCGCTCAAGATGTTGTGTTTGTGCTACGCTGTTTGAACGATTACATCTGTAAGTTCTTTTATGTTATGTTATTTTTTTATTCTATCAATAAAAAATTTTTTAGTGCGCTCTTGAAAAAGCCGTAAACCAAATGGCGAAATATTGAGTTTCCGAGAAAAAAATCGTTTTCTTTTCTGACCAAAAAGCCTGATAATATATATTTATTTTAATTATTTGATGGTCGATAACGAAAAACTAACTATATATATATATATATATATACATATATATTATATATATATATATATGTATATATATATATATATATATATATATAAATATATATGTATATATATATATATATATATATATATATATATATATATATATGTATATATATATATATATAAATATATATGTATATATATATATATATATACATATATATAAATATATATATATATATATATATATATATATATATATCTGTGGTGTTTGGGAGAAACATGATAACTCCAAAATAGCGAAAATTTTGTTAAGTCATTTGTTCTATTTTCGTTTGATCTGACTATGGTATGTCTATCGCTTCTAGAAAATGAGCCACGGCTTGGTATAATATTGATAAGTCCCTATTATTCAAATTTTGTTTGGTATAGTCCTGTTAAAATATTATATCATGTACCCGAAAACAAAACTAAACAATAACGTTTTGGTGCATATCTGATAATTGGTACTTATCATGTCTAGATCAAATAATATGCTCATTCTCTTGGTAAAACATTTTGGTCCATATATGATAATTGGTACTTATCATATTTATATCAAATAATATGCAAATTATTTCGGTAATTTTATGCTATGTCCCACTTAACATCTTTGATTCAAATAAATATTATATTTAAGTGGCATTTTCTGTGTAAGTTTTTTTATGTAAGTGGCAAATAATATGAATATATCAAACTTTTCTTTTCGATGTTTTGCACTTATTATAATTATTCATGAGCATTTGGTCGTATTCACGAAGGTGTCGATTGCATTGTGTTAGTGTTAAGGTCTATCGATGACTAGTTAGTTACACTTAGTCAGTAAGTCAGTATTAAAATCAGTTTGTCTAAATCTTTCGAAGGCGAATAACGCAGTAAATGCGATCTAGTAATTTGGTAAACATGGCTTATTATACAAGTTTTCGTATTACAAAAATAATTGAGATGTGTTTATTAGAAAATGAACAGTCGTCTTCTAATAATGTAAGTATTAAGTTTGATAGTGTAGAACTGACTGATGTTGAATCAGCTTCATATCCAGGCCCCTCTGGAAGTAAAGAAAGCAATTTGCACGTTTTAAAACCAGCACTATCTTCACCAGTAAATCTTAAAGAAAATACTCATCTGCTGAATGTATTAGCTTCTGAAGTAACTTCTGGTGATAATTTGAGTTCTGGATCTAGCCATTTGTGAGAACCATCAGATTTTGAACGTGAATATGAAAAAGCTGATTCCAAAGACCCTCAAAATGAGTTAGATGATCACTTTCCTTTGGCTCAGATAAGTATAAAAAAAGGAAGAAAGGGCCAGTATAGTAATCCATCGGTAACTCTATAATCTTAAATTATTATAACGTATTTTTAAAACTAAATGTAATTAAACATCTGTTAACGGGTTTTTACCCATATATTTAATCTTGGTGGCTACATTCATGTACTCCTAGACACTGATGATGGAACATGGTTTCCGAAAACGTTATGTCTTTTTAACTTAGCCCGTTTGGGCCTTAAATATATACCTATTACAAAGGATTTTTAATTAAATTTTTAATAATGGTATACAGCCAAGTACAGGAACGTAGATTCCTTGTGAAAAAAAGAAAAGGTAAGGAATACATTATTGTTAAAGGTAAGAGCATTTCAGCTCAAGTTTCAATACCTGTGTCCACAAACTTTTAAGCAAAATGTCATGAAAAGACTGCCCCTGTTGATCTAAAGCAAATTTTTAAAGACTTCAGAAACTTGTCAACTATGGATACACAGAAACGTTATTTGGCTAGTTTAACAACAGTAAAACCTAAAGAAAGAACACGGCGTGGTAACTCAGTCAAAACTAGGTAATTTAAAGTTCTTTATAAGTTGGAGAATATGGATGGTAATATCTGTAAATGTTGCTTTTTGAAAGTATTTGCCGAAACCAGAGGTTTCTTAATGACGTTGTTAAAAAAGAAAGCATCTTCTACTTCTATCTAGATTTAAGAAGCCATCTAATGACCCTTGCAAAACCTGTGATTTATTGTTTCTGAAGATAAAAAGCTGTGCCTCCGAAGAAGAAAAACAAAGATTAGAAAATGAAAGCCAACAATACCAGAATAATACTTCCTTTCATTATACAACAAAACAAGGCGACAAAGAAGAAAATATGCGGTGCTTAGACAAGCTTGTAGTAGTTGCATTTGATTTGCAGAAGTATTTGGCCACACCTAATTTGACATCTAGTGTGGCTTTCTATAAAAGAAAGTTATGGACTTTTAATTTGACGATCCGTAATATCACCACAAAATGAACATCGTGTTATATGTGGCATGAAATTGTAGCTCAACGAGGAGCTGATGAGATCGCATCTTGCTTATTTCAGTTTATTAGAGACTTGCCAGAACAGGTAGAAAAAGTAGTCCTTTATTCTGATACGTGCTCCAGTCAAAACCGAAATAATATATTACCGATTATGTTTTTAAAAGCACTCGAAGGAAAGGAAAATTTAAAAAAAAATTCATCATAAGTTCCTAGTTCCTGATCATACTCATTTAGAATGTGATACAGACTATGCTACCATGGAGAGATTTGTGAAAAAAAAACGCCATAATTTCAGTTCTACAGGACTGGGTATCAGTAATTAAAATGACAAGCCCTCGTTTTGATGTAAAATTTATGAAACAAACTGACTTTTTCAGATTTTCCAATCTTCTAACAACGCATTTTATAAAAAGAAATATTGATAAAGATAAAAATTCTTTTGTTTGGAACAGCGTATTTTGGCTACATTACAAAAAGGATAGTTATATAGGCTTCAAATACACATTAGATCCCAACGAACCGTTTCGTTCAATGTCCATGCTAAGAAGAGGCAGGTCAACTTCCATGTCTAATATTCAGATACTTCCAGCTTATAGTGATCCTCTACCCATAGATTATTTGAAATATAAAGATATTCTCGACCTACTACCCTTTATAGATCGAATCCATCATGGATTGTACCATTCGCTTAAACACACTAAGCCAGTACCACAATATACAAGCGACAGTGATGAAAATTTCGACGCTTAAGTTTTAATTAGGTGCAAGTAAAGCCATATATTTCCACAGCACTGTTTTCCAATACAAAGAAATTGACCAATAATAGTTTAAGTTCTTTCCTCTTTGACCGTTATCTCCATTAAAATACATTTTAAATCTCTATATTTTTGATACAAATATGATATGTGCCAATATATCAAAAACAGAAATGTTAAAACATATTTTGTTTGTTACATCTGTTTTAGCACTTAATAAAGTATTTAATGAAATATATTTGGTTTTTTATTTTGTAGCCTTCGATTTAAGAAACCTTCTGGAATGTTAAAATTGCTCTACTGAAAAACATACATTTTGGAGATAACATATGTCTCCCAAACACCACAGAGATATATTATATATATATATATATATTATATATATATATTCTATTACTTTTGATACTAAAATGAATTTCAATACCCTTTATCCTTTTAACGGAGGGTCCACACTGCGTTCAGAAATTAAACAACTGTATAAGTGCCTAATCGACAAC